TTCATTTTATTTTGACTGACGAAGACAACAGTAGTTGTCGAAACGTTTCAATAATAAAAAATGATATGTTCGGTATTCTTTTCTTTATTATTTATTATTAGATATCATAATGATTCAAGTATTTTAATATTTTTATAAGCATTTCATTTGGTAAATCGTTGATTTCACAAAATGAATGATCCATGTTGAATCTTAGTAAATATTTCTTTTTTTTTCTTTGAATCTAATATATTTATGTATGTATCGCTAATCTAAAACAAAGACACAAATATATCCAATAATATGAACCATTTAAGTATTACATAATCAAGTTTTTAGACATTTTAAATCTTCATCTCTCCCTTAAGATTGATTACGTCATGTTAGGGAAGTTAGCGAAGCATTCGAGTTTTTTCTAGATCGATTCGCACAATCAATTATGCCAACTACGGAATGTTGTGTGCCAGATAGAGTTCAATGAGCTCTATCGAATGGTATATTTACTTCTAAAAACGAAATCCACAACAAAGAAAAAACCATAAAATATAATTTTTCATCATGGGGGAAAAAATGCAAAATAGATATTTTCCAGAAATATTCGATTCACGACTTGTGCCACTTTTCAAATTTGAATCAATCGATGTAATTCAATACGCTCTATATAATGGTGTATAATAAGCCCTGGTAAATTGAATCAATGAAGATTTATATTTTGGTGTACATCTAAAATTAGCATTTCAGGAAGTGTTTCATATCCCGATTCGTTACATAAGTTGTGCCACACGGGAAAATAATCCCATTCGATTCAGTTTAACGAGCTCTATCGAATGATATATAATTTGTCATTACACAAATCAAACTTTAGCATAAAAGTTTTCTACAGTGTTAGATTTGTGCTGTACTGCAACAAGTACTCCAACCAATCACTAATAATGTGAATTCTATACTAAACTCGTATCAGCCAATGAGCTTCGACCATATCTCGCGATTGATATAAAACACATCATGAAAAACATTAAAATTCAACTTCTATCATTGCTAAAACTTTTGCTTGAATGAATTAAGACGGAGTATTCACTTAACCGATTCGTAGAGGAATGTGTGCCAATGACGTGGCATGTCGTATCTAATGTATCTCGATCAGCTCTATCGATTGATATATAATATATTGTGAAAAACATTCAATTTCAAATTCTAAAATCGCTAAACCTTCTTCTTGTATGAGTTATGTTGAGTATTTTCTTAACCAATTTGTTGGGCAATTTGTGCCAATGACGAGACATGTCGCG